CAAAACTACAAAGCAGTGTTTAAATTCATTATTGTTGATGCTGTGTTTTTTGTTTTGTTTTGTTTTCCATTGCTGCTGCTTGTTCACTGAACTTTTCGAAGCAGTGAGGCTTTTTCAGAGCCACCCACACCTATTTCTTACCTTTACCCAGCTAATCACACACAGTAGTAAAAATGAATAACTATCATAACTATCATTGAACCAGTGGATTCAAGGGGGCTACTTTTATGTCTGAATACTTTTTTGATACAAAAAGAAAAAAACTTTTGCAGAAACTGAAACCAAAAAAAAAAAAGGAGATATTTTCTACAATCTTTCACTTTAGAGATTTGCTTCTTACTTTCTCCTACTCTTATTTATTTGGCTTCTTTTTATTTCCTACCATTTCAGCTTTGTCCCCAAAATAAACACAAAGTTTATTCTTTTAGAGATGACTATCTTTCGACAAAGAACATTAACTCATCAGGAGAGACACAGATTTTCTGAGCAAGTTGCTATACTATGCAAGAAAGGAGAATAAAGGAGAAATAAAAAGTATTTTCAGTTTCTGAGCGTGCTATTTGAAAGGTAGTAAGTGACATGCTATTCTGCATTACTTCTATGCAAATGAATGAACAAAAAGTGATGAGTTGGGGATATTTTCATGGACTTGAAAATAGGTTTTAAGATTACAAGAAATTCAATTCCACTGCAAATATAATCATGTATAGTAATGTTGCATGTTGGATGAAGAAGTAAGAAGGTATTTATTTCTTGCCAGATGGATCATCGTACAACTTCCAATGGCTTTTGTGCTGTATCAAGTAAAATTTAGACATCTGCCAAAGATTAATTAAATGCTATATATGGTCAACTCATCTTTGAGCTAATAGCTGTACTTTATGAAGATACTTAAAGTTGAATTAAAGCAGTTGCCTTTCAATGTTATAGAAGATTGGTAAGTATCAATCGTATGTACAGAACTGTGATACGTGCTCAGAATGATGTCTTGGAAGAAAAAATCACTCTCTGAAACAGGAGATAAAGAGAGTAATTCTTTTTGTTGTGTCCCAGTGTTGTGTCCCAGTTGTCCCCAGACAATTCAACTCCAGTGCCACCAGTTAAGACATATGGCAAACCTCTTAGATAAAGGGCAAAGGAAGAGCAGTTATGCTGTATTACTGAGAAGAGATGGAGCATTTTGCAATTAGTGATATAGGACTAATGGTGACTGCCAACGACTGCATTTGAGGTAACACTTGGAAATGTTCAGTAGGATAAACCTTGATCCCAACAGGCGGCATTTTCAGGAAATCATAATGCATTATCACATGCTGAGGCCTCCAGTACAGGAAAGGTGTGGAGCTGTTGGATACTGCCCAGAGGAAGGTCACAAAGATGATCAGAGGGCTGGAGCACCTACCTATGAAGTATACAAGGGCTCAGGGAGTTGGGCTTGTTCAGTCTAGAGAAGGTTGTGAGACCTCATTGCAGCCTTCCAGTATTTAAAAGGGGATTATAAAGAGGAGGAGAATCAAATTTTTACTCTGGTAGATAGTGATAGGACAAGGGGGAATGGTTTTAAACAGGGAAGGTTTAGATTGGATGCAAGGGGAAAGTTCCTTATATGAGAGTGGTGAGGTGCTGGAACAGGCTGTCCAGAGAGGTTGTGGATGCCTGTCCCTGGAGGTGTTCAAGGACAGGTTGGACGGGGGCATGGGCAACATGGTCTAGTATTAGATATGGAGGTTGATGGCTCTGGCTGTGGCGAGAATGTTAGAACTTGATGCTCCTGGGGGTCCCTTCCAACCCAAGCCATTCTATGGTTCTACGATTCTATACACGGACATCAAGTAAGGTGCAAAAAATACAAGCCGTGAGGACAAAAGGACACACATCCCCAGCCCTCCTCACTATCACCCGTCCAACTAACCGCCTGTCCTCAATGAGGAGGGAGCCACCACAGTCGGAGGCAAGTAATCCTCACGGTAACCCCGGGAGGCGACGACAAAGCCCAGAAGACCGAGCCACGTCGGTGACCGTTTCCCCCTCCCCCCACAAAACGCTGTGGTACTGCCCGCCCCCTCTCCGCCTTCGTGAGGCGGGGTCAGAGCTGAGCGGCGCGGGGGGGTGGCGCTTTGCCTTTCGCCTCCTCAGCTGCTTTGTCCCTCTGTACGGCCCGTAGCGCTGCCGTCACGCCCGCCATCATGGAGGGAGCCGGGGCTTCCTCTGAAGCGTTGCGCTACGCCGAGTACGCTAGGGGCCCTACGGGCGCCGGCAAGGGCCAAACCGAGCTTGACCGGAGACTGGTGAGCGCGCTGAGAGCCGGGCAGGCGGCGGGGAAGCACAGCAGCGAACTCTGCCCTCACAGCGTTGTTCCCCCGGGGCCGGCATCCGCCACAGGCAGGGATAGCGGTGTTGGCCCCTTGCCCAAGGCCACGCCTGGTGGGATCGCAGTCTGTTCCCGTTTAACGCGGGGTTAAACGTGAGGTTCTGTCAGCCACGGGAAAGCTGAAGTTGTGCTTCCTTACCGTAGGGAGACGGGGGATGTCAAATCCTTCCACACTGCGTGAGTTCTATTAGAGCAGGCTCTAATTTCTGCTGGTTCTGTGGAAGTCTCAGCGAAAAAAGTCACTCTCTCCTGGCGGCTCGTCATCTGGGAGAAGCTGAGCGAGGACCAGCGTTGGGGTTCACAATTGGGGTTTTTCAGAGATAATTCAGCAGTAATTATGAGTAATTATAAGTAATTATAAGTAATTATGAGTAATTATGAGCTTCATAGCAAAAAGGGAAGGAAGTCCATCCATGAGGCTCCAGACGCTGAGATACTACATTCTTTTACATACAGCCATACCTGCTCATCTATGGTTAGTATGGGTAGAGATGTGGCATCTCTGTGGTGGTTAGAGACTACTGTCAAAAGATGGGAACATAAATTAATTTAAATGGCTTCATCTCTTCTAAGTAATCTGACATGGGCAGCTGCTGCTGGGTTCACAAGAAGACACTCCTGCAGCTCCCCAGCTACCCACAGGCTTGCTATGTAAGCCCAGTATACCTCATCTTGCTACAGAGTAACAGAGTATGGTTGCAGAGATGAAATGGGATAACAAACATCACCTTCAGGGCTGAAACAGCTCTGTTCCCAAACTGAATTTTGCTTTTAAGTTGTGCAGGATGATAACTATACTTGTTTTACGTTTGGAGTGACAGAAAAACAACAGTGAAGGCATAGAGTCCGTGAGGACAGCTGTAAGAATTCATTAATCATGAATACATATCCAGGAAGGCTGGTTGAATGCCTGACATTAACACTTCTGCTAGTGAATCTACTGCTCTGGTAGAGTCCCCTGTGAAAAATTGTCAGAAACTTTTAAGTTTGTAGTAGTTTCGTATGAAAAACCAGAAAGTTACTATAAAATAAATGAAGTAAATAGACATGAAAATTGGGTGTGTATGGAGATGAGCTTTTAGCTGAAACTAGTTTTAATTTATTATTGGAAAATAAACTTCATAGGGAGGTGAGAATGGACAGAAAGCATTAAGTTATGAAATCAAATCTGTTGCAGGTAGTTTTTAATATAATCCCAGTGCATCCAGCTCCATATACAGCTAATTAGGTGGTTTGCTCTGAAACCTTCTAATAAACTCTGAAGCCTTCTAGTACTGTAGCTACTCTTCTGGGGAATAGCAACCTTCTTGTAACTTCCATGCCAGATGCAGTCATTTATTTGAGGTTTAGAATGTTTAAATAAGGGAGAAAAGCCTTGGAAATAGTTCTGCATGCTTGGTTAATATCCTTGTGAGTTCTAATTTTTAGCAGCATACATACAGCTGTTTAAAAAACAAACATGTTTTTAAAACGAAGTTTCTAGTTAAGCATATTGCATTTGTGCATTTACTTGATTTCAGGTACATACATCCGTATTTTTACCTATCCACAATTAACCATGGACTACTAACAAACTGCTGTCCAGTCCATCAGAACAAATAATTGTTTTTCTACATGCTTTTTATTCCATTTCACTATAGCTGTCTGTGGCCCTAAAAAAGTATAGAGCCCTAGCAGTATATCTTAAAGCTAGTTATTAGGGAAGCAGAGTACTTTTTGTTTGACCAAGGAGGGTGTTTCCACTGACTGCAGTAGAAGAACCAGAGTATAAAATCCAGATCTTGTGCAGGCAGGTATGTTTTAATGTCTATAAAGTTTGTTCTTGTAGCTTGTTGTTAGATGTAACAGTGTTGTGCTGAAATTTTAGAATTATGCATTTGAAATTGCCTTTTATATTTTTTAACTTCTTTTTTTCTACTTTATAGAAGAGAGTTGTAAAGCAGAGTGCTGTGGATTAGGAATATCTTACTCTTCCCAGTTTCTTCTGCTTAAAAAGATTAAGGCTACAGAAAACTTACATATTAAAGGATTAGTTCTTGGACCTCTCTATGAAGTGGTGTCTGGTGTATACCTTTAGATATGCTGTCTGTCAATATGCTTTATCTTTTTTTGTTTACCAAATACTCTGGTAAGTCTTGTGGATGTATTTCCTTACAGACATTTCTCTAAAGATGAAAAAAACAAAACTTTGCAGATTTAGCAAAACTTAGTTTTACTGTTATCTGTATCTTAGAGGGTTTGTTACTAAAACTGAACTTCATAATAAAAGACTGAGATCAGCAATAGCACAGGGTTGATGACTAACCTTTGGGAGCTGATTCATTGAATAAAGAAAGGGACAGATGTTACTTTTTAATCTTCTATTTCTTTATTTTCCCCTCTTGGATCTTAAGGAATGTTTTCTTGTATAAACCTACATATTTAAAAAATTTTAAATCACCTTCCCCTTCACCCTCCCTCCAAAAAAGTCAATTCTGCCATAGTTGAAGTCAGTGAGTGTTTATTAATATTTTGAGCCTTTGAATATGAAATAGCATGCATGTTAAAGCAGTGTGGGCCAAAAAAGCTCATGGTGGTAGATGTGAGAGCGAGTTGCTTTCCTTTCATATTGACGAGAAGAGTGCCTGTAATTAAAGCTTTATGGTCGTAACAATAAAATTTGCTGCTGTATATTTTGAAGTTCCAGACTAACCTTGATTTCTCCTTCTAAATAATCATCTGAGTTAAGTGAGCGTGGAAAAGAAAACTGGGACAGACTGGACTTCACCATAAGTGAAGTTACCATTAGCTTAAAAAGAGACTCTGTGGTAGTAAAAGATGAACTGTGCAATCTTGGTTCTATTGATTTAAATTCAGTTTCACACTATGTTCAGTATAACACTATAACAAACATTCAGGATGCTTTGAGGTAACAAGTTACCATTGTGGCTAATACATAGCAAGTGACTCTTTTCTAACCTGCTGCTAACATAAATAAGGGATGTTACTCTATTTTGATGTTTCTCAGCTTTTTGGATAGTTTTATCTCACCTGTAAACATGGGCAGTCTCTCATGGCTCTGTGGCTTGATCACCCCATCACTTTAGCTACTTTTCTGCCTGGTCTTCGGATTGCTGCTGATCCTGCTTAGCACTCCTATCCTAGAACTACTATAACACTTATGTTTTTTTTTAAGTGCTGTTTTTCACTAGCTTTCCTGTAACTGCTTGTGCATTCCACTGAGGCTGAAATAATATAGCCCAGTGGACACGGTGCTCAGGGAATCTACACTGCTTACAGACCACTCTGCAAAAACACTTAAGCAACTTCTGTGCAGAGCTGATGGAGTCCAAGTATCATTTATTAGCCTTACGTCAATGTTCTGCCTTTACCTGTGATGAGGTGTCTCTTACCAGTGGCAGTGTACCTTGTTGTAAACTGACAAGGTATGAAGCTGACATAATCTACCTTTTGGTGGCAAGGCAAGAATAAGTTTTGACAAGCACAGGCTAATAAATATTTTTTTTTCCAATATGATCTATTTCACACGTTGTTGGGCTCTTAATTGACTGTAAACACTTAGTAAAAGATTCTCACAGTCAGTCTGAATGAGTCAAGGAAAGTCTCTACTGCACGTAAATCCGTGATCACAAGCCACAGAACAGAATAATATATAATTTCTTTAGAGTTTTGGTATTTCCAGAAGCATTGTGGCTGTTGTGGGTTAGTCTTTAAACAGAGGGATTAGAAGAATCTCATCGAGTTTTCATATTTGAATACTGAGAGCCTGCGAAAACTGATCTGTGTGAAGAAGTAGACAACTTTAATGAAGAGATGAACAGTGTGCTTCACTGTTTTATTTCCTTTACCATCTGAGGTAGCATACTTTTATTTTTCATGGCCTGAAGAGGAAGGGAAACTGTGCAACTGGAAGGAAGAACAGATATTAAACTGCTGCATTATTTTTACATGCTTACATCCAGGCATGAATGCTAATATCAGGACTTCAGTCTATGATAAAATAGAACAGAGAGGTGACTTTAAAGCACCTCTGGGCAAAACTCCTTCATTCTTAACTTTGGAGCTCCACTACCAGCGTGTGTGGAATTTTGTTGTTTTCTTTTTTTCATACCAGAAGCCTCTCAGCAATTGCAATACTGTGTTATGCTCGTGGTCAGCATAGCCCAATTGTAGAATGGCCTGGGTTGAAAAGGACCACAATCATCATCTGGTCTCAACCCCCCTGCTATGTGCAGGGTCACCAACCAGCAGACCAGGCTGCCCAGAGCCACATCCAGCCTGGCCTTGAATGCCTCCAGGGATGGGGCATCCACAGCCTCCTTGGGCAACCTGTTCCAGTGCATCACCACCCTCTGAGTGAAAAAATTCATCCTACTATCTAACCTAAACCTCCCCTGTCTCAGTTTAAAACCATTCCTCATGGTCCTATCTCTATCTGCTGCTGCTTCTGTTCTGAGCTCAATGCTACAGGCAGCAGTGACTGTCACCTTCCTTCACAGCCAGACAGGAGCTGCTGGCTGTGGTGGAAATGCCGCCATTTTGCATAGCCACCTGAGTGCAGGAAAGATTGTTGACCTGTGCTCTAGTCCCTATGCAGCTCTAGAAAGCTTAAAAATCCCTATTTCTCAACTCTTCCCTTACTCTGCCTGGGAATGAGATTGAGTACAAGAGTTTTAGCCACTGTAGCTACGTGACACTAAATCTGCTTTTTGGGGCACATCAAAATTTGGGCATGCAGTTCCGCTCTCAGATTTGTTGGTAGAAAATCTGTGAATGAGCTATTGGTTAAATGCAGAGCAGAAAGCCATCCAGAGGAGAATGAATCTGGTGATAAAAACGTTTTCACTGGTGTTTGTTTTGAAATCCAGTTAAACAGGCCTAATCTGATTTCTCTTGCTTCCTGGGGAAAAGTTCAAGGTGTTATTAAACTATCAGATATGGATAGGTAGTACCATACACCAGACACTCAGGCTTGCAATGTTCTTCATCCTTGAATTCTGGAAATGGTTGAGAAGTCGGTTTGGCTGCATATCATTTAGAGGCTTCTTGTTCAACATCTCAAGGAGATATTTCCTATGGTCCTTTGTAAGTTTCCAGACCTTCAGGGCGTCGCAGAGAAAAATATACCCACCCTATTTGGGATTTTTGAGTTAGCAGGAGTTAGGAGTTACTACTGAATCAAATGTTCAAATCTTTTTGTGGGTTTGGTTGCAAGACACTTAAAACAAATTTAAGACTTTTAGACCTACAGCAAATTTAAGCCAATAACGAAAACTGTCTGAAAACTGTCATACAAATATTTATACTGTAATTTAAGCATTCAGACAGTGGTTGACAGTAAATAATGAGAAGAGATTACCAGGCTCTGTGTCTGACTGTGGCTTCCATGAGTCAAGGGATGAACAATGGAAGACACTGATGTTTGTGGCTGCAGCTGTGGGATGGGACTGTTTTGTTCCCCATGGTTTTGTGATAAACTAATACTTTCTTTTACGGTGAACGTTGTTTCAGATTGCGTTGAAATGGTCTTTGCATAAAAATTCCAGTAATCCTGAGCAGAGTCTGCCATGTGTTTTTTATTTCATACTGTGTGTTACTTTGTTAGTGTTTATTCACTGATTTGCTAATCCAACTTAAACCCGAAGCACTGCCATAGGTTAATGAGGCAGTGCTATAAGATTTGATGTAGCCTTTGGAAAAAAGATACATACTTCATATTTCATATAAATTACATATTAAATGTCCACAGCAGACATCAAAAATATTTACTGTTAAAGATGCATATATTCCAAATGAGAATGTGCAATTCATTCTGATTGCTATTTTCTTGCTTTAGGCCAGATCTATGATAGCAGTTGGACTCGGTGTGGCAACTGTTGCATTTGCAGGTAAGCTAAATTACCAGCTGACTGTGGATCCACTTATCTGCCTACTGCTGTTTCCAATGAGGTTCATGAAGTTTTTATGAAAACCACTTGGGAAGTGGCTGTTGTGGAGAATCATGTCCCTTTGTAGTTCCCATCACTTCAGAATCCTTGGTACATTTTCCAAAATTCTTTTTGAAAAAGTCACTGCTAGAGAAACTTGTTTGTGGGCAGCAGTGAAAAGGTTCTGCATGCTCTCTGTCTGCAAAATATAGTGCAAAAGGATTATGCTATATGATGCACATATAAAAGGGTGTTGCAAGGTTGCAAGGTGAGGCCCTTTATTACGGAAGAGTACAGCAGGATCTAGTGCTGTGAAGGTGGTGCTTGACAAATTCAAACAGGGTGGAATGAAAGATTTTAGCAGTTACAGTTATACATCATATTAACCTGTTCCTGTAGTACCTTGTTTGTTCCCTGAACTCTGCATCTGGATTTGTTTTTCTGAACACAGGTCGTGGGCTTAATGTGATTTACATGCTGATTTATTCAGATGGGATAAGTGTGGTCTCTTCTAGTTTTGAAATACACGAATCAATTTCCATTACTTTCAGGATGTAAACTCAGCCGTGCTCAGCTGTGTGCAAATGCATGCGCCAAGTACATATGCATATAGATTCATCCTAATACAAAAAAAGTCAGCAGGTATTTTGTGAGTGCAGCTGTTTTATTTTAATTAGTGGAAGGAGAGGCAAGATACTTGGTGGTACACATCTATTAAGAAGCCAGTTCATGTCTATATCCTCATATAGAAACAGAAGACAGTAGAAGTGGAATTTCTTCTGCTGGTTAAGCTGAATTAGTAGTGATCACTAGCAATGAAATGGTAATTGTAAGCTTTAAGAAGGTGAGGTAATATGTTATTAATACATGACAGCTTTTCAGCAATGGTACTCCAACAGGGGTTTTGACTTCTGTGTTAGCACAGACAGACATAGATGGCTACAATAACTTACGGAGATATCCTTTATTTTAAGACTAAAAGCAAGATGTTCTTTGAGTCAGGGAGAGCCATGTCTTATAAAAATGTTTTTTCCCATTATATTTAATAACAAATTACATTCCTAATGAATAATTAATCAAAACAAAAATTGGAGGGTTAGAACTTACAGGGAAAGCTACCAGTAACAGTACAAATTTTGATTCTTAAGTTGGTAGACCTTTGTGCTTCAGAGAACAAAGTCTAATATAGATTCATGTACCCTTTCTTAGCTATAGATGTTCACTGCCATTTGAGAGTTGAATGTCTCTGAATACCATCAGGTCTTCTCTTTGTAAGAAAATAAAATGTAGAATGTACAAAATACGTGATTGAGCGTGCAACATTACATCAAGATACATGTAGTATGTAGATATATTTTTTTGGAAGACATAACCTTTGAATGTTATTTAATAAATAATGCATATCCAAAGCTAATGTTCTTATTGCACTTTATCTTAAAGTTCACAATGCTGATAACTTCATTTGTCATATTGAAATGCATTTAAATCTTATTTATTTTGTGCACAAACACAATGGATGTTTGCAGACCATGGCTATGTTTTTATATTATGTGCATTACCTCCCCACACACTCTCAGTATGAAGACTGAAAAATGTAAACCTCTGCAAGTTTGTCACAGGACTTCTACCCAGGACTTCTGCTGGGCAGGATTCAAAACCAGACATTGAGGGAATATCTTGAAAAGCAGTAAAGTGCAAAGGTACCATACAGAAAATAAACGGAATGAGAAGGTGAACAGTGAAGAATAATTTTGTTTTATAACCCAAAATTCTTTCTGCTTCAAGCTAATGAACAGATATCAGACATTTTGTGTACGTGTGTGTTTAAATGGCACTTATGGTTCCTTTGACTTCCTTTTTTTCAGGTCGTTATGCATTCCACCTTTGGAAGCCATTGGGGCAGGCAATTACAGAGACAGCAAAAAAGATTTCAACTTCTGTAAGTTTGGAGGTTACTTGATACCAGCTAAATCTATTTATATGTCAAATATTTAGAAGGAAGTCATTTTATGTTGAATATGACGAATGCCAGCTAGATTTAGTTTTTATTTTTTTTCCCTGGATTGGAGTACTCCTTACTCTGTATGTTCTGTCATTTATTTCATATATTTTTAAGATGATCTAATAAACTTCCAGGATGGGTTGCAAGAGGATAGAGGAGCTTGTTTTCTCTGTTTGCAACTCACATGTGAACAAGAAAACAAGCACTTCCATCTCTTTGCACATTGGTTGTCTTTTTCTTGGGGCAGTTCCAAACTTATTCTCAGTTGCAGTGTGTATGAGCCAGATATGGTGTTACAGAATCACAGGGATTGGAAGGGATGCCTGGAGATCATCTAGTACAACCTCCCTACTAAAGCAGGTTCCCTAGAGTGTTCCTGGATCAGTTTTCACTCCCTGTCCCTATACTGCATTGCTACTGTGAGACCAACAGCAATTTCGTTTTTCCCTTTCTAAAATCAGTTTTAGAGAGGTTCCCATGTTGCCTGCCAAAACAACAGGGGGGACTTTAGGTACTGTGAATTAAATTGCTTTTATGTGATGTGGATACAGTCTGACTTAAAGGCTTGAAGTAGCAAGCAATAAGGGTATGTGGCTTCAGAGTAGAGAGTGCTTCAATCTTCATCTTCCCTCTCCAGAAGTTTTACTCCAACGCATCTATCCGTTTGTTAGATACAGGCTAAAGAATCTAAATTTAGACATTTGCATGTAAGAATTCAGGCACTGACTCTTTAACATATGGAAATATGACATACTACTGCATAGAGAGGTGTCTGTTTCTAGGAGACTGTACCCCTCTGAACCGTTTTGCTGGCTGAGCCAGTCTCACTACAAGTCTGTTTTCCTTGATGACTTTCAAGGTACTGCAGAATTCACTAACAGGAGATTCTGAATTCTCAGTGTTCCTAGTCTGTGGAGCTGAATCTATTTCTGCCTTTATATCCTGCCTTGAAGGCCAGAGTTCTATGTTTCTCTCCAGCAGAATATTCTGTTACTGAACTTGAAAATACAGCGAACAGCAGAAGACATGAGATCTGCTAGATAGAGTAAAAACTTATTTTTGGTTTACCACTTCCTATATATATTTGTTAACTTTATATTTGTGAGGGTAATGACAATTTTTTATTTCTTCTACAATCAAAATTCACATTTAAGACTCTTGTGTAATTCTCAGCAAAGGTTGTCTGTTCTGTAACTCTACGGGTCAACCTTCTTGGAATATGCTTTTTTCCCTTAGCAATCAGTTATTTCCTATTGGTCATTTGTCACTAAAACAATACAAAGTGAAAATTCTATATACCAAGATCCTGGGTAAGTATTTATTTTCCAGACTTCTTTTAGCAGTATCACGTGATTTTGTTTGGGGGAATTTGAAGCTGCTTATATATAAACTGTGGGATAGCAGTTTCATCATGTCTCTTTACAATATAGTGTTCTCTAAACTGTGCTGACAGTGAAAATCAAGCAGTCAGTACTTCTGCTGATGTTTACTGGAGAAAGAATCATTTGTGACAGTCAGTGTCTAGGCTTAGTGCTTCTTCACTGTAGTGCTTGAAGGTTCCTAACTTGGTCACTATGTTTTTCAGTGCTTACCTTAGCTTTCCAGAATCAAACTCTATCCCTCAACACACCCTTTTTAGGAAGACTGTGAAGCGAGCTGCCTGTTTAAAAGCTAACTGGTTCTCTCTGTGTGCTCCTACTCTCTCTTCCTGTTTGCAGTAACTTTTTTATCTTCCTTGCTTTCAGCTCTTGTTAGTTGCAGCTTCACAGTGTGATGCTGTTTATCCTTTCCTCCTGCTCACTAATAAATTACTTACATGAGGTCAAGTTGAGCAGTTATGAAGTGAACATTTAGAATGTCTACTTGCTGGATCTTGAGTATCTGACACTATTTACTTAGCTAAATAACTAACATGTACAGTCAACAGTTATAACCAAAAACAGCAAATAAGAGCAAGTAAGTAACATTTTGCTCTGAATTCCTACTTCTCATTCAGTTTTAATTTACGCCTGTTAAATTGATAGACTTCTTAATGATGAAGAATAAATGCTGCTGTAACTTAGTCATTATGCTGCTGATTTTTGGAGAAATACTTCTTTTTCTAAATTAGTTTTATCTTGAACCCGATTTTGTTACTGGTATCACTAACTCCAGTTTTGGTTTTGGTTCTCTGTGGAGTTACATAGTCACAGCAGTCATTTGTTTTTTCTCCTCAGACAGACCTTAATGCTGTCAATCATAACACTAATTTCTTACTTCCTAGTTTTTATTTCCCCTTTTATTTTAATAGCTATACCTTTCTTTGTTGAATCAATGGTATTTAGAATTTAGACACAACAGTTCTAGGCAAAATTGTTAAAAACTCCAAATTCAACAGTCCTGAAAATTCCAAGTTCCAGAAGAAAGGCTCTCTTTAATGCTTTGCTGGAGACGTTTGTACTCAGTTTTTGTTATTTGATCTGTTTCTGCTCAGATGCACAGATCTCTAAATTAAGAGCTAACAGTTGCAACCATCTCTTACAATATCTAGTCCATCTTACTTTTTTTTTTTTTCTCCAAGTGAAGTTAAGGAAGTTAAAGTTGATATCAGCAAGTTTTACTATTACATGATAGCACAGCTTCTAAATAGGTGTTTTGTCGTGTCTTTCATTTTGTGTGTACATGCATTTGTTTTTTTCTTCCAGCATTGTTTACCTTCTTCAGTTGATTATGTCAGTAGTGAAACAACACACAGGTTATCAGAAACAAATACCACTTCATGTAAGATGACGTGATGTCTGGTTTCAGTTGCAAATATCACTTATCTTGCATGGAAACAGTCACTCCTCTGCTGTATTGTGCCATAAAAAGTATCATGAAGATGTCAGGATTTTCTTAGCTGACTGCCTAATGCTAAAATTTGCAAGAATGAATACACATCTGCTGAGCAAGTCCAGACATTTTCTGTTTCCCCCTTACCCTTTAAATAGCAGTATTTGCTTACATAAGTTGTTAAACAGTGACAGCATACACGGAAATGAGGCAAATTAAATGGTAGCTCCCCTGCCCCTCTGCAATGGCAAGAAGAAATGCAGAGCTCATTCTAATGATTTTTCCAGTACAAAAATTCTTTCCAATAGCCAGAGTTAAATAATAGTGTCTGGAACTGTGTGCAGATCAGGAAGTTGTAGCAGAAAAATATCTGAATGTAGTTTCTTTTCACTGCAGTCATTACTAGAAATTAAGTCATGTTTTTCTCAATTTTAATTTGAATAGCATGGAAAAGTTGCTTTATTTTGGACCTAGAAATTTGCTGAGATATTTCCTAAAATGAAGACTTGATGTTTCTTCCCCTGTTCTAACCAAGGGGAACAATGACTTTACATTTAAATTATTTTTGCTTTAAATTCTGTTGAAGATCAATATCTTAATGTAAGAAATTCATGATCCTTATCCTGTGCTTCACTTCTGAGAAGAAAATGTTTTTTGTTGACCACTTCCCCTGGCTGATTTTGAAAGTTCGTATTTGTTTATTTGCCAAAGGACATAAAAAAACCATAATTTCTTATTTCATTCCTCTTGAAAGCGAACCGAATGAAAGCTTCCTGAAGTTAGAACAATTTCAAGGACAAGTGCTTTACAAACATGAAAAAGTATTTCTGAATTTAAGCCTGTAGCCATTCCTCCTTATTCCGTGATATCAAATGAGCTATTTAAGTGATATCTACCAAGAACAGAGAGGAACTTTGTTAAGAGAGAATTCAAATATTGTTCTTCTCTACATGAAGAGGGAACCAAGAGTGTCCTCTTATTTTAGAGCTGTGTGCTATGCATGAAGAGCAGAGAGGAATTAACCTTTTCAGAAATCTATCTGTATTTAAGATTCTTGGAAGAAGCTCTGGGAAACACTTCACAAGGCATTTAGGTGTCCTTTTCTCTCCTGGTTGTAGTAATTGTTCAGTGTCCTTGCAAATTTCTGGGCAGTTTTACCTCTTCAAGGACATTACCTGGTGGCCATTTAATCACCAAATTGTTTCCTCTTGGAGGACTGGAGAAACCATTTGCGTTCCCTGAGTATTCCATGCTCTAGCCTGTGCTGTTACTGAGTACTATTACAGATGTGCTTTGTTTTACTCTGCAACTGTAGCAGTAGTTCCTCAACAGATTTTTGTTATAGGTGCAAAGTGTTTGCAGTCAGATCAGTTTTGACGGTAGCTGAATTATTACAGAGATGATTATCTCATGTATGATTTGCAGGGGTGAAAAGAAGAAAAATAAGATTTGCTTCGGACCGTAGCAAACTACAACAAATCGCTTGGGAATTGCTGCCTTCAGAGACATTCTGTATTGTAGCAATTCCTGATTATTTCTGAAGTAAGCTTTTGGGTGAATGTTGTTCCTGACCTTAAGCACTTTGCTTTGGCATCATAGAGAGACCCTTGTAAATGCTTTAATGCTTTTGATATTACTTGAGTTTGTATAAATGCAATGCAAAATTCTCACTGGATATGAATGGATATATTTAGTAGCTAGTGAGAAAAGTGTTTTATTAAGGGCCAGGCACACTTTTGCTTGGGGGTAAAAGGAACATTTAAAAATAATCTCAACTCTTCTCAGACTAGACTTCCTTATGATGGCTTATTTTTCCCCTACCAATGTTTGCATTGAGAAAAAAACTTCCATCTTGTTCAGTAATTTCTGTGTGCCAGTTCCCAAAGGCTACATTTTGGAGCTACATCTGTTGCCACTGGAAATTTTGCATCTTAGACTATTATTAGGGAGTAGCAATGGACTACTCCCTTATTCTTCTCTAAGAAAAATTTGCATTTAGGAGATCGTTGCTAACCATTAAAAATTGTTCATTAACTTTATTTTATTTTATTTTTTTAATTTAAAGATGTATTTATAATTGGCAAATACACTTTCAGCCTAATCTCTGGTCTCAATTCTTCCTTTCCTCTTCAAACAGTGACTAAAGTCACCACTTGCTAATTCTTGGATGCCAGAACATAATCACTCTTGCCATTTTCCATTTCAGTGCCACCAAAGCTATTTTTAACAACTTTTTCCCTTTCTCTTCCCTGCCCTCACGAACACGTACAGTGTATCACGTTATACTAGCATGTACTTTGATTCTGGACTGTTTTGCCTGAAGGCAGGATTTTAATGATTGTAGCTATTAATACCTCCGATTAGCACTGGAAGATTGTAAAAACACACATAGCTATTTTTAGGTTGGCTTTTGTATGTGTTAACACCCAGGAGAAGTCCTTTCATATTATCTGTTTTCTACCCGTTCCATGTCTTCAAAGTAAGTTACAGATGAATGTTAGGCTCTCAGTGGGGTGGAATAAATATGATTTAGGTCATGGCACCTCGTACATGAAACTAATTATTGCTTGTTTTGCCTTTTTTCTTTCTAGAGTCTTTCATTATACTATAAAGGAGGATTTGAGCAGAAAATGAGTAGGCGTGAAGCAAGTCTTATTTTAGGTGTAAGGTAAGTGTGCTGCATTAATATGGTTTTGTTTGGTGAGTATGGAATGAAGAAAATGCATATTGCAAGAACGTAGAATACTCCAGCCAAAATCTTTCTTTTTTTCTTTCCAAAGGCTTGTAATGGCTTATAAACCATTTTAATATTCTGCTTAAGCTAGAAAGCAAACAATAAAATACTAATAAAACATGTGACTCGTGTTTGGCTTGAAGGTTTGGTAACATACTGCAGTGGAGAATTGGTGCTCTTAAAATAGTCAGAATAGCACATACTTTGCTAATTAGTGCAATCATATGGCTTGGTTTCCAATAAAAACCTTGAAATGAGCAATATTGTAGATTATACTGATGAAGAAGGAAAACAGATCAATTTTGCTTCTTTTTTTTTTTTTCATACAATGCATTTTTTCCTTTCTATACTCTTTGATTTGTATGGATTAAAAGAGTTGCAGCGTATTCCGAGCATAAATACATTGAGACACTTGTCATTTAGATTGGGTATAGGAAATTATTTCCAAGCTGCAGAATCAATAGATTTTTGAGTAGAAATTTTTCAGAAACATGGATGGCCAACAGTAGCACATGTCTTAGTGTTTTCTGTAAAACAAATGGTGAGTTTGAGGGCTCTCCAGCTGAGAAGAGCGGATCTGACCTGAGGTGGTGGATTTTCTGATTTAGATTAGTTCTTAATTTTAAGATGAGGAAAAAATAAGGAGGATGGTTTGAATTCTCTCCGGAAGTTAGGTGGTGAAAACTGGGGCTTAGAAGTAGCAGCCAAACAAGATTATGTTTGCTTCTGACATAATGGAAATATGCAGATGCGGCATTCATTTTAAGAATCTGTAAAATAAATGATAACATTTTCACAGAATCACAGAATTGTAGGGGTTGGAAGGGACCTCTAGAGATCATCGAGGCCAACCCCTCTGCCAAAGCAGGTTCCCTACACCAGGTCGCACATATTTTCTTCAAATATGTCATGCTTGCACATAGAACAGCAGATTTATAGGAATGTTATACAGAAATTTGTCCTCGGACCTATGAGTTTGATATTAATATTTTCACTTACTTTGGAAGGGCACATTCTGTCATGTTCCAGAGTAGCACACTGCAGCTCATTGAAGTGTGTTTACAGCTTACTCTGAACACTCTCATGTACATGTCTGAAATTTCCCCATATCTGTAATCAGTCCCCTGTTAATTTTTTATCTTAATAGCTTGAGTCTGAACAGTGACACTGCTTGATGTGTTTGGGCTCAGTCTTTCAATTAGCATTCATAATCAGATACAACTAAAGTCCTTAATGTTTGAAGGGTTGAACCTTTAATTGTGTAGCTGCGTGGATAATATCTTTATGGGAAGTTCTCACACTGCTTGAAAAGAACTCTTACTGGCCAATTCTAACTCAGTTTACTATAGTGTATGTGTAGAAGGGCCACCAAAAAAACCCAAGAGTGTTAAAAGTGTTATGAAAGCTGCCAGGCTCCAGAACTAGGTTGCCTAGAGATTGATCTTATTATTCTATCCTTTGTTGTCTTGTCATCACCTCCAAGTCATACTAAATTTTTAAGCAGAGGCTTTATTCATTATTTCAGGTGTATGTATGGACGCTCTGTAAGTAATAACCATGAGACATGATAAAGGTGAACCTTTGAATGGGGCAACTTGATTTAGTACTTGATGTAGCGGATGGCAACCCTGCGTGCAACAGGGGTACTGGAACTTGATGATCCTTGAGATTCCTTCCAACCCAAGCCATTATGTGATCCTCTGATGATATAATGGTGGCTTTTTAATGTCAAGTGCATTGACTTTTTACATATTCCAGATGTTCTTCTGTAATAACCATATTCAAAAATTGCAAGGGTTTTGGCAGAAACACGCATGTATATTGTTTGCATTTATCTTTGGAAAAGGCGTCCAAAGCTAAAGAGCGCGGTACTAAAAATGTTAACAAATCATAGAATCACAGAATGGTTTGGGTTGAAAGGCACCTTTAAGACCATGTAGTTCCATCCCCCTGCTGTAGGCAGGAACACCTCCCTTCAGACCAGGTTGCTCAAAGCCCCATCCAGCCTGGCCTTGAATGCTTCCAGGAAGGGGGCATCCACAGCCTCTCTGGCCAACCTGTTCCAGTGTCTCACCACCCTCACAATAAAGAATTTCTTTCTAATAATTAGTCTAAATCTATTCTCTTCCAAATCTTAAGTTTTATTCTGTGAAGAACAGGTGGCTGAAATTCGATACAACCTGCAATAATTTTAACATCTGCACATTCAGTAGGAGGAAGTGTTGGTACGAAATATGGAGGAGTGTCTGAGATAACATGGGAAGTGAAAATATTAAGTTTTTTTCCTAAACCTAAACCAAAAATGCTTTACAGTAGCAAAATACAGATGTGCTAAGAATAATGGTTTACTACTATGAAATTGCTAATGCTAAATTTCTGAAGGGTGTGATAACTCTCCTCACAAGCCAGGTTCCAAGCCCCTCACTATGGCTTTTGATGAGCCTGCTCCCCACTACCATGGTCCCTTCCAGCCTCACCAACATTCCTCTGACTGAAGGGTCTGTCATTTGTGGAAATGGTCAATGCATCTGAAGGCAGGGCTGATGTTCAGGAGGAGCTGGGCAGCCTCTAAGAAGAGGCTGACAGAAGCCCATCAGCAAGGACACAGATGTCTCAGGTTGTGAGGTTGTACCAGTTCAACAAGAGCATGATTTTGACATGAAGGTATTTTTTTATGATGCCATTCAAGGTTTTAAAGAGCAGTCTTTAGAGCCAGATGAGCAGTATGTCATTAACTAATCAAAATTATATAAAATAGAATCTTTGCAGTTGCTTGTTAGGACAAAACTGCTTGATTTTCCATAATAGGCAGCTGCAACTTTTCCAGGTAAATGTTGCCCATCTGAATTTCGAAGTAATGCTTTATTATATTCAGGTTTTATTGTTACAATGAGAAAATACTATTAAACAGCTGATTTACAAATAAAAATATGGGTATATTTTATTTCTAGCTATCTGATAATAAATCATTTTTTATAGTTTATAGTTCAAAGCTTCTGGTTAATTCTTACCTTGTTCAATTGAAATGTTCTTTCTTTGCGGTTTTTTACATTTTTTGAAATGTTCTATGAGGTATTTTTGTAACATACCCTCATTTCCCTGTGATAGTGAAATAATTAGGGGTTGTTTACTGTGGGAGTTAGGCTGATATCTTGCATTCAAACTCTACCTACAGAAAAATTAAGTGAGTAATTTCTGATGAAGAAGTGGAAAACACTGTTTCATTTCTGTGTGCTAACAGATTACAAAAAAACAAGTCATTCCAACTGTCCTTTTGCATACCAGAGCCTACTGTGCCAGTATATTGCATCCATAAGTGGTTGTTTGTCTGGTAAGGTACATATTTAATTTAGTTGGAGTACATATTTTATGTATCTGTCATTGAAGGAAACAACATTATGTAGCTCTTGTAAATCAACATGTCCCTGAATGCAACACGTTGAACAGCTTTGCAAAAAATAACAGATAGGTTTTTTTTCCTAGGCTCCAACAGAAAGTATTTATAGCAACTATAAAAATATTTACAGTAGAACAAAATATGATAATATTAAATATTTGATGTTTTGTCATTGGTCGTATAAATACCTGTTTTCTGGGAGCGAAGATGTATTTTCTGCATTTGATGATAAGAACACCAACCATCTGTATTGCGGAGCTCTTTTTTTCCTCCAAATTATGTATTTTAAATGGCTGTGGGTTTATTGAGTTTGAAGAAAAAAGAAACAAATCAACAGGAACGGAAGGATGTTTGCACGTGTCAAATACAAAGGCTTTTTAAAAATGTCCTCGGTGTGACTTACATCCCTTTGTTGGTATTGCTTCCTCAAAGATGCAGTTTTATGTTTTGTCCACAAGATGGGGAAAATCTCAAGTTTTAATTATTTTTGAAGCCAGTATAAACCGCTAATTTATAGCCTGAATGCAGTGGAATTTATGGTAAGCACTTCAATTTATTTTTGCAGTCCATCTGCTGACAAGGCCAAAATCAGAGCAGCCCATAGAAGAATCATGATCTTGAATCATCCTGATAAAGGTAAATATTTATTTATTTCTTTGTTTTAATCAAAGCTGGAAAGGAAGAGCCCTAAATGAGATCCTTTCAGTTTACTGATTATATAAATAACCGTGCTGTGTGAAGTTTATTTATAGACTTAAGCTTCTGTGCATCAGATAAAGCAGACTGATTTCCAGGCTTTATGAACCACAGCTTTAACCAGTTTCTTTAAGGTTTTCTTAAGGTGCTGCTTCAGGTAGGACTACCAGTGGTCCACACACATAGGAAAAACAAAACAAACAAACAAAAACCCAAAACCCAACTTCCTCCAAAGTATGAAAAAAATGAGCTGTGATATTTTTCTTAAACTCCCGTTCCTGTTTTTCCTCCACTCACGTGGAGGAAGGTAACTTTCTGTGGGAAAATGTTCTGCATAATTTCGGATTTCCTTGAATTCACTTGGAAAAAAAATGTAAAGCTGGGCACTGTTGCTTTACTAGTCAGGTTTTTTAATGTAAATTTGTCTTATAGAAAGGCTATTATTATAACTTTAACTACACTGCAGCTGCTTGAGAAAGAAAGCCCATATGTTCATTGCTGTTTCTACTTTAAAATAACAGATGGTGAAGAGTTACGCTGTATTTCAGAAGTCAAAAGGCAAAATCATGGGGTTTTTGTATCTTTTTGAGAGAATTACAGGGTTCCCTGCTTCTACCCCATCTTAAAAGAATGGAAAAAGTAACTGACCACTGGCTGGGTGAAGTGTTTAGTCGATGCTGTTTTACTGTCTTTACCACTTGGGTTTAATTCAAAGTTTTCCTGCTTATTTGATGTCACACTTCTGTTTTTCACACTTTTGTAATGTAGAAGTTACGCACACATATATTAAAATATGTGCAGATTTTTCTGGTTTATTATTATGGCCAGAGACCTCTTAACCACTAGAGTATCTAAGAGGTCACAAGTTTTCTGTAATGAATTTCAAAGTTTTCTTGTAGCAGCCATTGGAGACTTGAGCCAGAGTAGTGAATTTCCATGTGGATGTTGAGTTGCCCCTAAAAAAAGCAGTTCCTCTTACAAAGATCATTTTAGGGGCCAGTTCTTACAGCTTAATGTGCCTGCAGCTAAGCACAGTGTACTTTTTGATGATGTAGTGAGCCCTCCTGTGTGCTATTAAGATGGAGCATTTTCTCTGCAGGAGCACCAGGTGAAGGGATTTGTGCCTCCATGCTGCCCCTGCAGCTCTTCTGTCATGGCCAAAGAGAGAAGTGTTGTCTAATGTCTTCAGCTGCAGAGTTCAGACCTGGAACAATCTTGAACATGTGGCATTGCAGAGAGATTTGCTTGGTTATGTTTTCAACTTCATTTCTTCTGGCTCTGGTAGCACAGATGTGCTTTTACAAGCAATATCCAACATTAGAATGTAATTCTACCAGCTGGCGTTGGTAGAAGAAAGATCAATAAATACAGATTTGAAAAGTTACTCATATTACCTGAGATTCAAAACAATGAAGAAACCGTGATTAGAAATAAATCACTAATAGAAGTTTGCATAAGAACATCCCTGGTGAGCAGTACTAGAATGGTTGCTCATTAACCTTTGCACAGTTCAGTTTGAAAGTGTTTTTATATTGATATACTGTATGTTATTTTTATATGTATTATTTATTCTGTGAAAGAATGCTTGCTAACAGAAACAGAGGAAGAGATGAGTCTTTTGGACTTGCTTTAATTATAAACAAACACTTAAGCAATCATGAGATTGAATTTTCTCTCATTGGAGGGCTGCAAAATTAATATGGCACTTGAGGGTGTTTCAGGATGTGAACATAGTAAAAACACTTCTCACTGAATTGAATTTACTTTAAGATTCACTCTAGTAATGTAGAAACTGAAGGCAAAGTTGAAAATTACTTGGGATACAAAGTTTATTGCAGCTTATAGTCCTTACTTGTCAGGGTTTTGAAAGAAGCAGTACTCAGTGTAGTAGACAATTTTCTGTCCTTGCCCTGCCTCACTTTCCTCACATGCCTTTGCTATTAGGACTGCATTCAAGCAAAACAGAGCATGAACAAGACAGCTGAACTCCGTTATTTTTTCCAGCTGTTTTATTAGGCTATGAACTGACTTTAGAATGATTTGGATTCCTGCAAAAGTGACCTGAAGAAGTCTTTGTGTTTACGAGCGTTTAGTGCTAGTTCTTCTGTGTGTCTTCTATCACTGTCTGCTGTGATGAATGAAGAGTTACGATTGAGCAGCCCCCTTGGAAAAGGCTGGTTAGTGTGCTGAGCAGTATTGCTGCAATCACGTTTTTATGTAAAAAAGAAATGAAGATATATAGGTGCATTCCTGTAAGTGGTAAGCTACTGATACAGACCTTGTAATGCTGTTGTCAGTGACTGCAGGCAGATGGTTGGCACTCAAGGGGAGAGTTAAAAAACAAACACAAAAAGACCACTGAACTGTAATCAAATTGTTAGATGGAGCGTAAAGCAATGACAGTGTTCAGGACTAGAAGTTAGAAGGCGTACCATGTTTAAATAGCTTTAATGTGACAGTTTCTGCCTGGTAATTCTGGGTGTCTAGAGGAGGAGAGGCTTGGAGTATGCGTGCACATGCTTGATGATTTTGTCAAAATTATTTATAAAATGTTGCCTCTTAGTTTTTGAGGTGGGTTGACATAATAGCTATCAGCTTTAGATGAGTGTTTGAGACAGCTGACCTTGCGTACGTTTGCAGTAATGCTGCAGTACAAATCTAAATCACACCAGTGTGAAATGCTTTTAGATTTCAGACTTCTTTCCAAGACAAATTGCTTAGTTTTATTCTTAAGCAACTTCAGTTTTGTTTACATTCTTCATGCTACCTTATCAATTAGTTTGCTTTATGTCATTGCCACATTTTAATCTTCTGTATGAAAAACATCTGTTTAGGAAGGAAAAGCTAATAAAAGTGAATGATAAAGGGATGCTGTAAGTGAAGTTGTTTGGTGCTCTGCAAAAACATGTAAATGGTATTTCTCTGCCTTTTTTTCTTCCCAGGTGGATCTCCTTACTTAGCAACAAAAATAAACGAAGCAAAAGACTTGCTGGAATCCAGTACCAAAAATTGAAATCCTAAGACTTGCATCGCAGAAAAACAAAACAAAACAAACCAGCAGAAAACACACACAAAAACACCCCACTTCTTATGCATCTTTCTCTGGAAGGTTCTACAGATACAGTGTGCAACAGCTTTCATATGTACTTGTTCTGCACAGTTGGTTAACAGTGCACTGGATGTTTATATTTATTGTTGAAATTAAAGATTTAAGACTATTTAAAAACAAACTGGATTCTTTTACAGCTGTGTCTCAATTTTAGTGCATTTTTACTGAATTCTGACACATTACAAGCTTAGAGAATTCTCTTAAAATGTTTTTCTTCAGAAGTAGTTCTTTTGTGAAACTTGGGAGTTGAAAAATTGAATGTGTCTTGGGTAGACTTTACCTTCATTAATGAAGATGATAATTGTCAGAAAATGTGTAATAACGTATTCAGTCAGTGCATGGGGTGATGGCAGACTCACATGGCAACTTTTCAGTATCACCTTACATACAGTGGAAGTGAAGAAAGCATGTCCACATGGTGTGGGGTCAGATGGGTTTTTGTAATCTGTTTATTAGATAAGTTAGCCACGTGTGCCTGGTGTGTGATTGATACAGCAGGGAGCAAACGTGGCTGAAACCCTTAATAGCAGTTTCTTTGCTTATTGCTTTGTGTAGACTTTCCAAGTTAGGTCTACATTACTTCTCACATCACCCAGTTGTAGGTAGCCATATTTGGTTATTTCCTTGAAAGGACGAAAGAATATGATGGTTTTCTGTTGTTTGGTTTTTAATATATCATATAATTCCCATTTTGTCACAATTTCCTTGTATTAGGGAGAGATGACAAAATTTAATTTGACTCTGATTGAAAATACTAAATATGGGTGATTTAGAGACTTCCTGACCTACAGTGTCATTTTCCTGACTAACAGACTGGATAAAGCAAAAAAGGATGCATGGAGAATCCTGCTTGGTAGTGGGCATACACACCTGTGTCATTTAACTAATGCTGCAATAAAAAGGGCTTGTGTATGAGCAGGAAAAAAATAACAAACAAGAAACTATGAGGGCTGTCACTGTGGGAGGAGAGAATTGGGATGGTGGAGTTATCCCTAATTTTCTGAGGTGGAACCTGTGTGTGATCTGAGTCATTGCCCAAAACGAAAACTGATGTCTGTGTCAGGTAGCCACAATATTCCTCCTAATAATTTTGAACTGACAAGCTGTTGTTTTCATGTGATTGCCTTTCTTTTTGTTGAGTAAAATGAAGTATAGAGAGCTAAAGTATCAGTTGAAACCAGAGCACTGGAGATTGCTAATCTAGTTCTTTTCTTACAAATCAACTTTCTGTATCTTTATAGGGAATATGTTTTTAGTTTTTGTCCTCTTTTGAGTCTTATGACAAATTAACAAATTTGACAAATTAACTTTGGCTGTTCATATATCTGGAAAATGCCATGAAATGAGTGAAGCTAATGAGCAGTGCTTTTAAGAGCATAATAGTTGTGTGCCTAGTTCTCTAACATCATATGTGCAATAGCATAAGTAGGAATCTATGGAAGCAACTAATTCTTTCCTTGTCTGTTCACTGGCAAAGCTTATGTTTTACCTACTAAATGATGCTTGGGAGGATGAAGACAGGACAGCAAATGGAAAGATGTAGTCAAGCAAATCATGTGAATACTGTTCAATTTGTTGTCACCAGTTGCAAACTGTGCTGGCTAAGGATTGTCTTTGGAGAACGCTCACGCAGACTGCCATGCAGAACAGCACCTGTTTGGTACTTTAGTCCTCAACTGGACTGGGAAAAACAGATACTATTTCTTTGGCAGCATATTCATCTAACTTCACAAATGTTTTGCCTCTGGAAACCACTTTATTTATTTGTCAGATGCGAAGATCCTCAGTGTAAGAGAACAGCGTAGAAATTGATTTATCCTGATGCAAATGTCCATCCATAATTTCAGCAACAAGTAAAATAATTTTTAGTGTGTTTTAATGTTCAGAAGGTGTTCATCTGTACCTTACAACCAGCCTGGGAGTTCCCAGTTAGCTTTCTCCTTACACTGGAAGTGAGAGAGGACTGAATGCATTAGTTTGGCATTGCTGCAGGTGATTTCTAGTGATGTGATGAGCAGCTTGCTCACCTGCCTAGTTTTTCTCTTATTCCTTGGGAGCTTGCCCTCATCTCAGCAGACTTAGACATGGGTTCACAAAAAGACTGGATGAGATTTGATCATCTGACTGCAAAAGTGCAGCTTGCAAAAACTCTGCTGTCCTAATATGGGTCTTGGGTACAATCAGAACATGTGGACACAAGGGCACAGTTCATAAAACTGTTGCTTATTCTCTTTGGAAATTGTAGAGGCAAAGATTGTTACTCCTGTATATTTAAATTGTTACTGCTTCGAAGACACAGAACTGTTTCCATCTTAACAGTCATATCCTTTAATCTGCAGATTTGGTACCTGGTGTCTTAGGTTCCCTAAGAAGCCTGGTCTGGTTGTAGAGTGCAGTACAAGACAACGTCCTTCAGCCTTGGTGTGAAAATCCTCACATCTGTCCTGGTACTCAGATGAGGCTGGTGGTAAGGCTGGGCCAAGGAGATGATGGCATTTGCTCTGTTTCCTGCTGTAGTTCTGGAAGAAGCATAAAGCCTCCAAGAAGCAGACTGGTGAGACTAGTCCACACCCCTGAGACAGTTTAAAAAATCAGGTAGTGTCAGCACAGCTTATCACAGATGATATCATCAGTTTCCTCAGGAGTGTAATTTTCTGCATGTTGGGCTTTAGGGTCTTTCCTTTAATTCACATTCTTTGTCTGTTTGTCTTTCCATCCTTGACAAGCAGCACAGTGGGCTGGCACTAAATTTCCATCTACAGCCTCCAGAACTACTCAGTTGAATTGTGGTACATTCTCCATTGGTAATCAACAGCAAATTTTGGCATATAGGTTTCCAAGAATCAGCAATGACAGCACAATCCTGGGATTTTTAGATTATGTAATTGCAACATTTGTTGTCAAGAAGCAGAATGAATGTGTACGTACATGTACGTATAGACAAACTTGCTTATGCAGATATCACTTTTCAAGATTTTCTGAGGAACTGAGCTCCATTCCACAGCGGAGTGCATTTTATAAAATATTTTCCTTGCATTTTCCTAATCAGGCTATTACAATTAGAAGCTGAGAAACTGAGTCGCTTTTATCTTTAATGGGTATAGTTGCATAAAGAAGCCAAACAAGTAAATAGAAGGCATCACCCAAAACATCTCAAATTTTCACTTTTTATTTCAGTTATACCCCATTTAGCTCTAAAGCAAGCACATACTTCATGTAATTAAGTCTTTCACAGAAATTGTGGCACTTCTCACACTGTACTTCTACAAGGTTCTAACGAAAACAAAACTAGAGCTTCTTGGCATGTTGCCCAAGTAACTTTGATTTGCAAATAATTAAAACTTCAACTACATTTAAAATAGGTTGTTTGCATTTTCTTCCATTTTATAAGTTTGTTTTCTTGTTCTGGGAACCAAATAGGAGAAAGGGAATTTTAGGACAGCCTTAATGACTGTTGGTGACCCTCAAACCGTGAGGTGAGAGACTCCTCTCTGATGAGTAACTTGAATTATTATCCAGGATAATAATAAACCTATTTCCTTTAATACTAAGAAATCACAACACTATATTTAGAACGAGAATATCACTTGGTAGCTTCATCCCATTAACATGCTTAAGATTTTCTAGGGGTAGCCATGGTGCACAATAAGCGCTGAACAACTTGATGTGACATTAAAACCACCTACTGTGCTGTTACAGCTTCCTTATTTGTATACTAACTTATACAAGGAGAGGTGAATTAGGTTTTTTGTTTGTTTATTTTTGTTTTTTAACTATAGCAGATATTACATGTCATAAACTCCAATTTTAAATAATAGTAAACTTCCTCTCCAGAATGAATCCTTCTGGAACAGAGATATAATTTAAGCATCACATAAGGCCTCGGTCTGGATATAGTGGTTTTTCCTGACCATTGGAATTGGTGTGGAGATCCTAAGCCAGGATGCCATTGGCCTTCTTGGCCACCTGGGCACATGCTGGCTCACATTCAGCCGAGCATCGACCAACACCCCTAGGTCCTTTTCTTCCACACAGTATTCCAGCCACTCTGCCCAAGCCTGTAGCATTGCTTGAGGTTGTGGCCAAAATGCAGGACTTGGCACTTGGTCTTGCTGATCTTCATCCTATTAGCCTCAGACCAGTGATCCAGCCTATCCAGAACGGCTGTCCTTCCCTCAGGCAGATTGACACTTTCAGCCAACTTGATGTCATCTGCAAATTTACTGAATGTGCACTCTATCCTTTCATCCACGTCATCAATAAAGATATTAAACAGGGCCAGCCCCAATAGCCACCCCTATAGGGGGACACTGCTCGTGACCAGTCATTTTCTTCTGCCAAATGGAATCAAGCTTCTATTTGTTACCTTCTACTGATCTGAGAACATTATTTAACCACCAACCAACATCGATTTTAGCAGCAAATGGATTCTGTGGGGCCTGAAATACTTGAGAGAGCGAGCTGGAAGCCTGGTGCTGTGCTACAGAGCAACATCTGCATCTTGCTTACGCGCACAGTTGGCACTTCTTATGCTGACAGTACACAATTAGAGATTTCAGCCTTTGTTGAGTCAGGTGAGGTCTCTTCCACCACTCCTTTTGCTAAGTACACAATCTGCAGGTGTTTCCAGGACCCTTCAAGCAATCTCGGTAATGAAGGAAATGCATTTGCTGTTGGCCTTTTTCTTGGTGCGGCCAGTTTACGTTTTGTCTTCAATAATTCATAAGCCTGCAGGAGGTGCACCAAAATGACTCCAGCTACCTCCAACTTTTTGGGGCAGAAGGATAACGAAAATGGTTTCACAGAAACTAAAGTCTGTCAGTTCATTGGTGGAAGCACTTAAATAGAACTTATTAGCTATTCAGGAGTAAGGTTTTGCTAAAGGTACAATGCATTTATGTATAGAAGTGCAGTTCAGGTC